TTTTTTCTATGAGGACTCAAATCGACTGATCTTGGGTTCTTCAAGAGTCAGCTATATAAATCAGATATTCCAAGTGGTAAATACTTATTTATCCTATTCTATTCCACATAGTAACACCTGACTCATGGAGCCAATCAGGCTTTGCCGTGCGTAATCGTGCAAGGGTACTAAGTGGTGGATCATTCTGAACAATCCGAGCGTCCAGGTCAGTGTTGCTACCTTGCTAGACTTTTAGTCAATGCTGCTAATCTCTTCTTGGCATGAACCTTGAGTATAGCTTAAACAGCTACTTCCAATGAATCTAGAGGTGCGCTGAGAAGACAATATAAATCTTCTGCATTTATTCTCTTTGGTGACTTGTATCATGACACCCTACTCTACCTAACCTGTTGTTATAGGCTATCTCGAGTGAACGAAAGCCCTGGGTCTGTTGTATCAATTTTCCAGGAGTATGAGGAGTGGCTCCAATGTAGAATACCATGGCATTTTACGTGTTCTTTCCATGATGATGTGGAGAGTGTCAGCTTGTGAGTAACGGTGGGTTATATGGTCCAACGTCCTCTGACAATTCAGCTGGTTGATAACAGCAATGGCAAGGACTTGTTGTCTTCCGAAGAATTCAGATCTCTGAGGGATGAACCACTGGTAAGTGGCTTGTTAGCTGGCTCTTATTGCCATTTTTTTTTTGACCAATCTACACCTGTCCCATGATAAAAGTCTTATCCAGTGGAAGTAGCTATCAATGATCATCAGAACATAGTTGGGATTGACACAACGCTCACCCTTTGGTGTTGTTGTTAGGTCTTTGCCTGATACTCCAGGAGTCGCGGTAAATATGGAAAAAGTCCATGATGATGCTAATTTATCCATACCTATACGATGATAAACACGTGCAAGTAATTTGCTCCTCCTTATGAGTATGTATAATTTCCAGTGTGGCGTCTTGCGACTGACCGATTGGTTATTAGCATGATACTAATTATACAAGTTCACATTATCACGGCGATACCACGGCGAATTAACAAATTTCCGCGCAGGAACCTCCGGATGGCCCATTAGGCTCTGGGCCATGCATCCCATCCTATTTATTCCCCGAGCCGACTTGAAACATAAGGTTGGCTTGGCAATTCTTGGAATCTCTTGGCTCACTGTCGGTAATTTGACCCTGCGGGATTTGGCCTGCGGTTATCACCCATTCCCGATGATATCAAGGACTGGAGATCACTGTAGTTTAGTATTTTGAGCAGTATCAGAGCACTCATCGTACATATAAAGCTTATGTCAACAAAAAAAAAATAGCAATTAGCCCATAAATTTTCTGGAATCACGGAACGTCTCTCTCTGCGGCAGGACTTCCCGCTTGTCCGTTCCACGGTCACTAGTTTGACGGTGGAACTAATGCTCGTACCGTCGTCTCCAGTAGCTGAGCTTGCTCCGCCACAGAGAAAGGTTCCGTTAGAGTGAAACAAGTAGGGTCTCTAATATAGCTAAATAGCCAAAGAAGCCCATTAGAAGACCAGGGCTCTCCCCCGTTATTCCCAATTGGGTAGACAATGCCGCAATACATATTATAGCCCTTGGTTGTGTGAGGCCTATCGTTACCAGACTTGGCAGGAGTTGATCCGGGATCAGCCCGAATCAGGAGTCAAGACCCTTTGGATTATCTCACCACACGGACCTGGAAATTTCCCTTAGACACTAACTAGTTATTGAGGGACAAAACTACTGGCCAATTACCACCAATCGGATGTCCGGAGAAACCCCAATTGTCGCGGGCTGATACTCAAAGAAGCCTTGATCCTTCAGCGCCAAACAGACCCTGCCAACTGAAAGGTCGGCAAATGCTCAGCGGATGTAGGTTCGAGTGGAGACCCATCCATAGACCCCATCCAAAGAGCTCAGGGTCGTGTTCTAGTGGACTTCTAAGCAGAGCTTCAAGCTGACCGCTGTTTCGCCTTTACACCCAGCATGTCAACCATACCGTGGGTGGTAAATTGAAACAAGACATACCAAGACCATTAAATTGTTCATTCAGATGTGAACAACCAATTCTTGGGTCTGTATACCCCTGGAAGAAGTATAAATTCTTCATCATTACCCTTCTCAGAGTCTTTCAGACAAGGAGAGCAACAATCACATCAAACTTCTCTTCGCTATCAACCATTCCTCGCATTCCACCATGTACCAGAAACTTCTCCTCGTTCCCCTCCTCCTCACCTCGGCTCTGGCCAGCCCTCACGATGCCTCTTCGCACCAGAAGTTCCACCAGCTGAACGAGCGCGCCGCATTCCCCATTCCCGCTTCCAAGGGCAGCCAGACCTTTAAGGAACCTTACTACGTCAAGGGTACCTATGATGGTGGCATGAAGACCTTCGGCCGTGGTGTCAAGTGTACCGGTCAGAAGGAGGGTGGCGACAAGGACGCCGTCTTCATCGTCGCTGATGGTGGTATCCTTCGCAACGCCATCATTGGTGCTGACCAGATTGAGGGTGTGCACTGTGAGGGTTCTTGTACCATTGAGAACGTCTGGTGGCAAGAAGTCTGCGAGGGTATGTTCATTCGCCATCTCACCTCTTCTCTCTCCTATTCATAGTGTTCAACGAACTAATAAACATTTATAGATGCCCTCACCTTCAAGGGTACCGGCAACGGCGTCCACAAGGTCATTGGCGGTGGTGCCCAAGGTGCCGATGACAAGGTCATCCAGCACAACAGCGGCGGCTCTGCCATCATCCAGGACTTCACTGTCCAGAACTTCGGCAAGCTTTACCGCTCCTGCGGCAACTGCAAGAAGCAGTTCAAGCGTACCGTGCAGATCAGCGGTATCAAGGCCAGCAACGGCAAGACTCTTGTCGGCATCAACCCTAACCTCGGCGACTCGGCCACCATTGACGGCTGTGCTAGCAGCGTTAAGGAGATCTGTGTCGAGTACGAGGGTACCGACAACAACGGCAAGGAGCCCAAGAAGGTTTCCTCCGGCTCCAGCAACACCTGCAAGTTCAAGGAGCCCTTGGCTAGCTGTTAGATGATATGGTTGGGGACCAGGGAAAACCTAAAGAGGTGAAGGTCTTAGCTGTGGTCGACAACAATTTTGTATTTTTAACTTCCCATTCATTCGTTTCTAGTTAGAACCATACATTTATCAACCGAACACTTTAATAATTCTTTAGTATTTCTCACATCAGGTGTATTCATGAGCTACGTAGAAGGATCTACAGGAGACAGCAATTGCAAGCCCATCCAATTCCAATCGAGAGCGCCCACAATAGGAGTAATTCTTAAGTGGCAAAGAATCCAGACATGTTATATCCATATATACTTGCGATTAGTTACCAACTACCAGCCATCCGTCTTGTATTTGCTAAGTACAACACATTCCTTCGCTAGGGAATCCCAATTTGGCGAGACTCATGAAGCTCTTTGATAAATCCAAAGATGCTACATCACTAACTCTAGCAATTATCCAATGAAAACCCGAGGGCAAAGTTTTCAGAAATGCCAAGATCCAACAACGAAGCAATCTTCCTTTTTCCTACCCTTTTCATAGAAGTACATCGAAGATTGCTTAGAAATATAGCATCACTATCGAACACGATAATTATATGAGTCATGTCACAATAAACAAACTTGTATTTATAATCAAGATTACCAACGATCGTGGTGATTCTTCTAGCAGCTCGTTTTCAATTACAGATGCCAAGCGTGAATACGAGGCCCAATCACTTGGTACGAAGCACGATGTCGTTCCCTTGCGATTTTGCTAGAAATCATGCATAGGGAAATAGGGAGCCCCATCAAGCCTGCGAGGTATAAAGGTTGGACTGAGGCCAGGGAATAAAGGGAGCAACTCTATCGAGGAAGCCGTCTATCTCTAGCAATCACCAACGACTCTCCAATTACTACGGACGAAGTCTACTGTTTTTGATCTTTTGACATTCTTTCTTTACGAAAACAAAACCAATGGCATCATACTCGGGCAAAAATGTGGTCATCATAGGTGGTAGCCATGGGATCGGTCTATCAACAGCTCAGCTTCTAGTTGACGAGGGTGCAAAAGTCCTCGTCACCGGCCGTAGCCCTGAACCCATTGAAGCAGCAAAGCAACAGCTGAAAAATAAGGCCGAAATTGTGCAATGCGATATCACTTCCACCGCGGCCATATCTAATCTTGTTCAGACGGCGCAGTCCTCTTTCGGTTCTGGACAAGGCATCGATCTTCTGTTTGTCAACGCTGGTTATGCTTCTCTGGAGCCATTCGCTACCGTGTCAGAAGAGTCCTTCCGACGAACATTCGACACTAACGTGTTCGGTGCCTTCTTCGTCGCGCAAAAGCTATCCCCTCTCCTTAAAGATGGCGGTTCCATCGTATTCACCACCTCGGTCTCAAATCAGGTCGGTATCCCTGGCATGGCGATATACTCCGCCTCCAAGGCTGCCGTCCGGTCGTTTGTACAGACATTGGCAGCGGAGCTGGTTGGTCGGAAGATCCGAGTCAATGCGGTCTCCCCCGGTTTTGTGAAGACCCCAACGATGGGTGTTGCAAGTGCCTCGAGTGATGATCTACGGGAGTTCGAAAACCAGGGTGTTCAGACTACACCCCTAGGTAGGATTGGAGAGCCGATCGAGGTCGCGCGTGCCGTTCTGTTCCTCGCTTTCGAGGCGACCTTCACAACGGGCTCGGAGGTGACACTTGATGGTGGGCTGGCGTTATTGAAGGCACATTAGTGGTGTTCTGTTGAATCTGGGCGAGGAAAAGCTACTGTGGGTTTTACTGTACGTATGCTATGTAATGTAAAGATAAAATGAAGGTATTATTACAAAAGCCTAGAAATAACCTTTCTCTGTGACCATCTTCCCAAAATTAGATTGTGAGCAATCAATTGTCATCAATTGCAGCTTTCCCCTTTAGTGTATATCTCCCCGTGAGAGCTGATAACCAGGGTCATGTAAACATCATTTAATCATATACACACTATGTTAATATATGAACTATCAGAGATAAGCGGGCGTTACATCCTGTTAGCGTCACTGTCTCTTGCACATCTGACTTTCACGAAGAAAAATATTCGAGTTTGTTGTCACCTTCATCCTGGGCAACAGATTAGGAGGGGCACGCTTACAAGACGCGGAAGTGTAAAGTAGTAATGGAATCAAAGGTTCATTTGCTATATGCTACCATAAAGTAATGAGATGAACAACGAGAATTGGTTTAGCACAGCATAGAATGCTAGCAATCCATTAATCCAGAACCTTCTCCACCTCAAAGTATTTAATGAGCGCTGATAGATCCTCACCCCCATGCCCCTCACCCACTGCTTTCTCTATCAACGCCTTCATTGGAAGGATCATCTGCGAGGAGACCCCCTGCTCCTCGCCAGCTTTGAGAATGTTTTCTACTCCGGCCAATTGCATTCCCAGGTTAGACCCCTGAGTGGCATAGTCACCCTCGTCGAGCTGTTTCGCGATAGAACTAAGATATCCCATCATTGCCGACAACCATGGAGTCAGAAGCGGCAATAGCCCGATAGCGGTAGTACCCTTCTCAGACTTGACCAGAGCAACTGCATGCAGAAACCCAGAGAAGAGACCGTACATTCCCGACAACAGAGCTAAATCATGCAGAGAGGCAGACCCTGCATCGGTACCGAGAAATTTACTCATTCCAAGGAGAGATAGGTGACTTTCAATGCTCTCGAATAGCTCAAAAGGCCCTCCACTGTAAAGCAGGACAGCGAGCGGAGAGCCAATCATGGTGGGAACCGCCATAATGCCGCCGTGGATGTAGTGTGCTCCGTGGGAGGTGACAAAATCTGCGAGTTTGCGAGCCTGGTTTGGCGTCCCATTGGTAAGATTGACAATAGTCTTACTGGGCAAAGCGTGAAGTGCATCCCGTAGAATGCCCTCGACAGCTTGATTGTTAAGGAGGCACATAATGATGAGGTCGCTGGCGTTTAACCCCTCCGAGATTGTAGAGGCTAGCTGGGCACCCTGCTGAACGAGCGGAGTTGCCTTTGCAGAGGTTCGATTCCAAACGGTTGTTCTGTAGCCATGTTCGAGGTACTTGGCTGCGAGGGCCGTTCCCATGGCTCCGAGTCCGAATATGCTTATGTGCTTAGACATTGTAGGGTACGGGTGATTGTGTTTGTCTCGTTCGGAGGCTGGAAGTAAACCATCATCACAAACCCATTTATATGCACACAGTTCTTAGGAAAGCACTATCAGTGCATCTTGTTGTGACTCAACGCTGATTTGAAATCAATGATTAATAAGACTATATTCTCCCTGCTTCCAGGTAGCTCAACTCCTATATCGAAGCTCGTATTCGAAACTTGGCAATAAACCCCAATTGAGGCATGCCACGGTTCCCAAGTAGAATTTTCCAGTTGTCTTCTAGTATTAGCTTGGTTAGATGTCTTTCGTTGTGCGTCCTTTCTAAAGCTGAGAGTTAGCCTATGCGAATTTGCCAAATTCATTAGCTAGCTATAGAATATAGGCCCTGCGAGGTATGGTTTGCATATATATATTTTGGACTTGAAGTTTGGCATTCTCGGTACATCAGGCAAAAGCACCTTAAATAGTACACCAAACTAATTCCAAAGCTGTTTTCAAGGCGCATAGTAGTTGTATCATGCTAGAGTCCGGTTTATGGTAAGGTTACTGTCTTTGTAGGACCTATCGATGTGCAACCTCTTTTGGGGAACATTCTGCATTATCTTAGGCTTTTTGCAACAAACATTTACGGGATATATTATTAATTAGGTAAGAAAAAAAACAACAACTGGCCGGCTGGCCCAATGGCAAGGCGCTTGACTACGAATCAAGAGATTGCAGGTTCGATCCCTGCGTCGGTCATTCTTTTTTTGTTTGTAGTTTTTACTGCATCTGGCCCCCCCCCCCCCCACACTTCGCCATAATACCCATAAACACTCGCCTCAAATCCATCGCTCGCGTATAACTAACACTAATTAATATTTGGCCCCAATGAAGCTTTACTGGGCCCTGAAAGTCTCTATTTTTCCGACTTCCCAAAAGCTACCACTTAAAATTCTGATAGCGCTATCTTAACGATATGATCATACCTTCATTTCTTTGTTGCTGACTGATTACTGTAGGTTGTTGGCACTCTAGACGATGGTACACTCCTTGTAGCCGGGTATTAGACGACTCCGTGGGATGTACACATCGGCAAAGGCATACTAGTAGCATCATGGTCGATGGGGTCAATCTAGGCGCAGGATCTTGATGCCGATCATATCTCCATGTCCAGCTTTCTTCCGGTGGGAAATGATCCACCCACTGAACTACTGTGTAGGTTTTTCCTCGGGAGTATATAGGTACATACTTTGCATCGTAGTATACCTTTAGAACCAGGTATTATCAATTGTAACTCAAGTACCATGTACCCGTCTGATGTTCAATTTGTTGTCGGTCTTTCCGGATATTTCGTGAAAGACCTCCAAGCAGTTCGACAGAGCCCAACATATGATCCACTAATTGATAACATACCCCCTCAAACACCCGGCTTCAAGAGCGTGGTACAAGCCGGTCAAGCTATCTCTATCCTAATTCATCTCCCAGATGGTACAATTGCAGTTGGCGACTGTGCCGACGTGATCTTTTCTGGAGCTGCGTCTCGGGACCCCCTCTTCATCGCTGAAGAGCATCTCCCTATCTTAGAGTCCATCGTCAAGCCTCGACTCCTTGCATGCGACGTTACTCAATTCCGGAACAATGCAATTATAATGGACGGGCCATGGCCTGAGTTACAGCATGATAAATTGCACTCCGCTGTTAGATATGGGGTTACGCAGGCGCTTCTCGCGGCCACTGCATTGGTGCATCGATGCACCATGGCCGAGATCATATCGCGCGAATGGGGGACCGCATTGTCACGTCATCCGATTGACATCCTAGCCTCCTGTCACCGGAACGATCATTTACAATTGGACCGCATGATTATGAAACGAGTCGCAATGCTTCCCCATGCCTCCTTCGTGCATGTCCATGACATAGGACCCCAAGGCAAAACGTTAATAGACTACATCAAGACCGTATCTCAACGGGTTCAAGAGCGAGGAAGCCCTGGATACCGTCCACGATTTCACTTCGACGTCTACGGAACAATTGGTGATCTATTCCCCGACAATGAGAACTTGGCATGTTTCCTGGGCCAGCTACAGCGATCCGCCCAGCCATACGATCTGCTCATTGAATCCCCAATCATCGCACCCACTCAGTCCGAGCAAATCCGACGACTAGTAAATCTGCGGCAACTCCTGCGAAAGCGATCGATCCACGTCCAGATTGTCGCCGACGAATGGTGCAATACGCTGGAGGATATTCGGAAATTCGCTGATGCAGACGCCGTGGATTACGTGCAGATCAAGATGCCTGATCTGGGAGGGGTACATAACAGCATTGACGCCGTACTTTATTGCCAGGACAAGGGCGTGGGATGCTGTCTTGGAGGATCGGCCAATGAAACTGATGTTTCTGCCCGGGTTACGGCGCATGTTGCCTTGGCCACGCAACCGGGCTTCCTGCTCTCTAAGCCTGGGATCGGGGCTGATGAGGGCGTCATGATCCTTACCAATGAGATGTTGCGTGCGTCGGCCTTGGTGTGGAGGACAAGGATGAATAAGTTGTAAAAGGTTGGGATGGGAGACGGTGGCTACCTGAGCCCTGATGTGTGGGACGGAGGTCGAGTTGATTGATTAGTAGCTGTTGGTCAACTGAGTATACAATTTAACCCATCTACCCCTCTTCTTATTTATGCAGAACCCCCTCTTTCTGCTATTTTAGTTGCATGTACAGAGTAAATTTGACCCTAACAGTGGATGATTTCACCAAAGGATATGGCATGTGTTGCGGAGACCTGAGGCCAAAGCGCTGATCTAAAGTTAAGTCGAGCGGCCCCGCCAATGGGCTGAACTGAACGAACTGTACTTTCGTATAACGCTGGGTCCCAGCTGGCGGCCCGGTTTTACAAATTGGCAATTATTACTAGCATTCTGCACGATTTAGGTGGATCTTTTACCCAGTCCTACGCCCTCTACACAGTAGATCCTTATCCAACAAGTAATTCATACGAACTTCCCCACTTGAACTTCATGGTCACACAAATTTACTGTGCATCGTGGGCAAAGGACCCTTCACACGATGATATGCTGCTTCCTTGCTTTGCTACCTCATTGCCAAGAAGTTTCTTTGGCAAAGAGGCGTAGGGTAATTTATCTAGAGCAGCTTACAAGCGGTCAAATTGAGCAAGTTTCTCGAATCAGTTGTCAAACGAGGTTTCTGGTTTCGAGATAAGGAGAGTCCCAAATTGGTCATGTAAGAGTTGAAGCAGAAACTGAGTATATTTCATAGATGAGAGGCTTTGGAGGACAGTCTAAAATTATTCATAGAAAACCTTCGCCTTGAATCCCCCCATGGTAACATTCTCCCCCAAATCGGTGGGAGATCTAGTCCAGTTCTTCTTGATCCTCGTCCGGGTCCATTCAGGGGCCGGAATATCGATATCGGTGGTATCTTTATGATACCCCTCTCTCCGAAGCAACGGACTATCCACACTCTTCAACTTCAAGCGATCGCTCGGCCGCACAAAGTACAGCAGTCCCAGCCGATCGTGGTGTTGCTGGTCCTCAGGAGGTACGATCACGCGGTGCACGCCGCTCTTCAACCATCCATTCGACAGCATGGTCATGATATCGGCGATGTTCACTGACAGCGTGCCTGGACGGATCGGGAGGTATTCCCATTCCGAATCGTCATATTTCTTGACCTGGAGGGCGGCGACGGGCTGCTGGAACACAAAGGTGATGGTGCCATTGTCCGTGTGTCCACGGGAGTAGAGATGCTTGTATTTCTCGTTCTCTTCCGGTGAGCGGGCCCGGTAACACATGTAGCGGAGGCCGCTGTCGCATTCTGCCTCATAGCGATGTCCATCCACAAGCTGATCTTCTGGGAGTTCCAGAATGATTGCAAGCAGTCGGAAGAGTTTATAAGCAATATGCTCGTGGCAGTGTCGGTGGAACTGCTCGATTTCCTCCCAGTAGCGTCTCACTACGTCTGGGTGGGTCCGATCGTACTGAGGAAGGAATTTCATGATGTTGTAAAATTCGATGTTGTCGCGCAGTCCGGGCAGGATCTCAATCGAACCCAGAGGTCGGTAGCCATTGTAGATTCCCTCTTCTAAGGGGGCGCGGAAACTCAGTCGTTCTTTCTCTGGGAGTGAGAAGAACTCTTTCGCGATGGCGAACTGCCGGTCGATTTGTTCTTGAGTGAGACCGAAATTGGTTACGTAGAAGAAGCCTGTTCAACTGCACATCAGTTTGGTGCTCTGTTGGATTGATGAGATAGGTAAGAGATGAGGTAAGAAATGGGAATAGTATATACCAACTTCGTGAGCAGCCTGCTTTAGCTGTGCTGCGAGTTTCTCTTTTCCGCCAGGGCGATCAAACTCCGACAGGTCAATTGTGACCAAGTCCGCATATTTCACTGGGTCGTCTTAGTACTTTGTGTTTGGTGATCGGATTTCTGGCTACTCACAGTCTTGCTTTGACTCGGGCGGATGGACATACTTTTCCAGAGGCTTCGTGGATTTGGTTATGGGTACTTCCACTACAGATTCCGTTTGAGTGGCCATGGCGTCTGAAGCTCAGCGTAGTTGACGGAAGATCAAACAGGATAATGGTAGATGTTGGTTAACATATCCTTGTCCTTTATTGTCCTATTAGTAGCCGGGCAAGGTGCAATGGCTTGCAGTCCATTGGCTGTCCCTCGGATAATCTCGGTCTCCAAGGCCCAGGTCAGAATGCAGCTGACGTCGTGCATCAGATCGCCTCTGTCCCCTTCTATGCTGCCCCGCTTCCCTTTCCATATTTTTGGACTCCGCCGACTCGTGGAGATCCTTGCCCTAAGAGTATAATGACGCAGATGAATGGGGCCCTCTTCTAGGGAACCATGCATGTGAGGGGCTGGCGATATGTAAAGCCCCCTCCTCCATGAGGGGCAATCCCCGTGTATCTCTCTGCGAGTATGGTGGGTCTGGGATGACGTTCTGCGAGATCTATTGTTTATCTTTTGGACTGCTTGGTGGTTGTATGTGCGAAACCCAAGCTACGGAGCGCTGGTACCTATATAGGGCAAGCTAGGTGTGTCACTAACTTCACGTAGTGAACGAGAGAAGGCGTCGGGATTCGATGCGTTCCCTCATGCGTAGGAAGGAATGCCGGGGGATCCAACATGTGTTGATATTTCGTCTGTATCCCTCGCCAAGTAGGGTTATGGTCGGAATTCAAAGTGTCGCATTTATCGTCAAAAGGGACAAGTGCCTCGGTCGACATAGTAATCCACATTTGTGCGACTTTGTCTCCAGAAGGATCATCAACATTTTCCTTTTATCTTGAATGTCGTTATTATATTACAAGGTATCGTTGCACCTGGTCTATCGTACATCTATAATACATGAGAAGGGAATATCGAGGCCTAGGCCTGGGCCTCACGTAAGCACGAGCTTAGCGACGCTCGAGGACCTTGAGGACCAGCTCATAGGTACCAATTGTAATAGCAGCAGAAGGAACGGTCCGAAGGAGATGTGCCGTCAAGCCTCCATACAGAGCAGCTGCACCCTCTTCCTTCAGAATCAACCGCGCACATTGAAGGATTCCAGTGTACTTCTGGCGACCGTCTGCCATCGGAGCCTGTCGTAATCTAGTCCTGATAACCTGCGACGAGTTAAATTAAATATTCTGATCTGAGAAGACTAGGTCCGGAGCTTACCTCATGGGGATACGCGATCAAACACGCGATCAACTTCGACAAGCCTGACGCTCCACTCATAGCAAGGCCCTGAACAAGTCCATTTGTATCGCTCTTTTCGTCGAGGTCAATCTTCTTCGAGATCATCCCCTTGAACCTCTCATACATTGCCAGGTGCAATGTCGTCTCAATTGTACCTAGGAAACTTGCTGACAAGCCCCGGTAAAAGCCCTTTGGTCCCTCCTGTTGCAGAACCTGCCGGGCGCAATCCAGACTATTCTTGTATCGTCGGGCCCCGGCCTTATCAAGCTGAAGTCGCGTCTTAACCACCCAGATCGGATTTGTGGCCGAGCCGGTGGCAATCCCGGCGCATGCAGCGGACAGGGCATGTACCAGTGATGAATCCTTTTCGCATCCGATAATTTCCGGAAGAAGCCGTTTGCAGTTTCCGTATGTGTAGAACTTGACCGCGCTGGCCGGAACGACTCCGGTCAGACTGGGTCCAAGACCCTTAAAGAGACCTCGCCAGCCTTCCACGCGGTGAATGGAGAAGAGAATTTCGAATGTGTCGCGGAAGTGAAGGAGGGAGGTGCGATAGAATGATGGACGAAGATGGGGCTGTGTAGGAATCGGATGAGACTTCGCTGCTTGGGTTTGGTAATAGTCTGTTTGTAACCTATAGTCGTACCGAATTGTGTTAGCCTACTGACACAATCTGTGCAAGCAAGATTTCTGCAATTGTATCGTACCTGGTTCGGAGGACATCGAGTGGGCTTGTGAGAACCGCCGTGACCATTCCACCTGCGCTGTATTGACACGAGTCTTAGTATATATGCCCATAGAGTATTCCTTCCAGGACCACTCACGCGCCAGCGATCATATGAGACCATGATCCTAAAGACGACACATTGGGCCTTGCTGGCAAGGCTTCTGTCGGGAGTGGCGACGCGAGCGATTCTCGCGCCACGTCCCCCGGCTTGTGCGCGATATTTTGCATTTCGGTAAGAGAAAGAGGGTGCTTAATTTGTTTTTCACTTTGCCTGCTGCATTGAATAAAGGAAAATAAAACAGAGATTCACACCAATAAACGACAAAAAAAAAAAAGAATGGCGCCCTTTTGCTGGCTTGTTTTTGCGGAGATACAAAATAGTTCCCGGAGTGAAAATTGAAAGTCCGACTTTTTGCGGAGTGGAGACTAATGGTCCGCTTCTGATTGGCTGCTGGCTTCAGGGCCGACGGTCTGGCCGCCTTATCGATAAGCTTATCGATTATCAGCCATCGAAATCAGGTGTCTATCCAGGGAAGAGAACTATAGCCCATGTTATATCTGTTATAACTACTCCCTTAGTAGTTAGTACTGAGAGTATGCAGTGTTATCTTTGATTGAACTGATGCTTACTCTCAAGTCTGTTGAGCTTGAGGGCCAAGGATATATAGCACGGATTCTTCGGTCGTCCAGAGACTTGATCTACCCTGTAATATCTAATTAGCTATATCCTAAAATCCCTAACAAGATGATATAGCGCTGTAAGTTATTGACGATAGGTCACGATGGTTCTAAGATGTAGAGAAGCGCAGGACCCCTGGCCGAGGTCGATCTAGTGGTAGAATACAGAGACATCGTGATCATTTCGGATTAGTGAACAACCCCGATCAGTCGGGTTTACCCCACAAAAACTAAATGATGAACCTCCCCCTTGATAGTGGAGCATATGGTTCGATTAGTCCTTGAGCTTATACTTACAGGATTGCGGACAGTAACCCTGTAAGCACGACTATAAACCGAGGTCAACCGAGATCCATGTGCTATCCAGATGATGAGGATAAATACCACGACTTTCTCCCAGCACAGGGCTGGGGTATTCTCAGATCTACTTCCTCACCTGACTGTCTCACCATTGAATTAGAGATCTGGTTGAAAAGGTGGACAGATACATCACATCTAAAGGTTAAAGTCAAGCCAACGACAAGATGGCAGCTACCGGAGCTTCTGTGTATTCTTACAAATATTTCGCGGTCCAGTTTCCTGCAGAACGACCATATCTTGCCCATGTCGAGATCAACCGCCCAGAGAAACTAAATGCATTTATTGAACCGTATGTTACAGGCAACTGGGCATAGCGCCCTTTGGCAAAAGCTTGCCACGGACGTTGCTGACGTTGGGTATAGAATGTGGTTCGAGATGCGTCAAGTTTTCGATCAACTTTCTTCTGATTCTTCTGTCCGTGCAATTGTCCTCACGGGTGCAGGAAGCAAAGCCTTTACTGCCGGACTGGATGTCAAACAGGCCCCCCTAGTGCTCTTCAGCGATAAGGGTGGTTCCGACACTGCACGCAAAGCAGTTAACATTCGACGCTATATCCATCAGTTTCAGGACTGCCTTACTGCTATCGAGCGCTGCGAGAAGCCTGTCATTGCTGCCATGCATGGATATTCGTACGGGTTTGCGATCGACCTTTCTGCAGCTGCCGATGTTAGGATATGTACTCGAGATGTTCACTTCTCCGTCAAGGAGGTCGATATTGGTATGGCAGCAGATATTGGCGTACTGAGCCGACTACCCAAGATCGTAGGCAATTTTGGCTGGGTGAAGGAAGTAGCACTTTCAGCGAGGATATTTGGCGCAGAAGAGGCTCATAGAGTGGGATTCGTGAACTCGATTCATGATTCGAAAGAGGCAATGGTGGGAGCAGCTTTGGATATTGCCAGTCTTATTGCACAAAAGAGTCCGGTTGCTGTGCAAGGAACTAAGGAACTATTGAATTGGTCCAGAGACCATCCTATTGCCGAAGGTAAGGAGTCTTTTGGGCTTGTACTCCCGTCTCCAGCTTGTCTGATTTTTGATTCCTACACCTGTGGTCGTCCAATAGCTAACGAATGCCATCGTTCTGAAGGTCTTCGCTACACGGCTGTCTGGAATAGTGCTGCTATACAAACAGGCGACGTGTCCACGGCTTTGATGGCTGGCATAGAAAAACGCACGCCGACTTTTGAAAAGCTGTGACGAATAAAGAACCTTCAGTCTAGGTGTGGAGCAGAGATGACAACATAAACCTCTGAATTCTAATTTAGCTCCCCAGTCTGCATACAAATTCCACCCAATGATCTAAGGAAGCGAGACCCATCATTCATTACTGGGTCCAATGTTTATAATCCCCCCCCGATAACCTTAATCGGGACTCCTCTGAGCGCTGAAAGCCCTTTTACGCCACAGTGATAACTTAATTGCAGTGCATTTATCATCAATAGATGCGGAGTTGACACATTCCTTCTATAGAAGCATACAAATATCGCTCTTCGAGCCATATAAGGCCGTGGATTCCCCTCAGACGTTGCAAAAAAAAAAAAAAAAAAATCAGATTTCGATCGTCTCTTCTAAGTTCTAATAATTATGGTTTATTGCTGTGGCAGGAGGCACAGGCGTCCCATTGTCGAAAATCTTAAGAGGTCTAAAAAAAACAAGATCTAACTCTGAAGGTATCTATGCATTTATAGATATTATAGAAAATCACAAAATTCTGAATACTTCTCCCGTTGGTATCTTGGCCGATTGCCCATAAATTAGACCGTCTATAAGTGATTAGAAACAAAAGTCTCAAACATCCACCTCAAGTGGGCCGGTATAAATCGCAATGACACAATAAACTCCAAATGTACACCTCTATGTTCTAAATCGTCTATTTTTGCAAAATCTTCCCGCTCTCAGAGCCTCACGTTTGGGAGCAATAGAGCCCTCCAGGGACCCATAGACTCCTCATTTGCTATCATCAGCCCTAACAAAATGCAGAACACCGGGCTGGGAGCTTCCTTTCGCGGATACATAGATGCATTTGCGGAATGTCGTCATCAGCGAATAGAGGAAACTCTCGTCCTTGGATTCGTGGTATTTTTCGCCGAGCAGTGGCTGGATGGCTTTGGTTGCTTCCTCGGCCTTGTAAAATGGAATGCGGCTAAACAGATGGTGGACGACATGGTAATCGATGATCTCGTGGAAGAAGTGACGGCCGATGAAACCGATAGTGCGGTCAACAGTGGCGAGCGCACCCTTGGTATAGGTCCAGGCCTCGGCTGTGTAGTGTGGGACTTCGGGGTGGGTATGTTGAAGGTACGTGATGGCGACTGGGCAGATGTTAGATAATTGCTTCTTACAGTAAAAAAAAAAAAAAAAAAAAAGGTAATGTATGTAAAGGGGGAAGGTGGGGGGGTTTAGGAGACATACTCAGCCAGTGGTGAACCCAGAGATAAGGGATGAAGTACAACAGCACGACATTCCAGACGCCAACCTGGGTAGACGCATAGTACAGAATGGAGCCCATGATCAACAGCCCCAAATCAGACAGTGCGATAGAAACCCGCTGAGAGCCCGTGAAGAGTGGCCCCATAAAGTTGAAATGGTTTGCAGGTCCCATCTTTCCTGCTCCTTCGGGCAGACTTTTGGAGCCTGCGGTGGCATTTAGGAGCAGATAGATTTGCCATCCGAACAGCTGGTGACCAATCAACTGCAGAAGAGACACAATTGGAGTTTCCTCAGTCAGATGCTTCAGTTGTTCAATCCGCACATTTTTCTTCTTTGCTAGATCCTCGTCTGTCCACGGCACATATACGGTATCCTTCTCCATATGACCGGTGTAGCGGTGGTGACGGGCATGGGTAATCTTCCAAGAGAAGTAGGGCACCATCAGGAACGAATGCCCGGCCCAACCCACAAAGTCATTAAGCCTCTGGTTAGGCGAGAAAGCTCCGTGGCCGCACTCGTGTGAGAGAATCCATATTCCGGTGCCGACACAACCTTGGAAGAAACCGTACGTAGCCCAGGCTATTATACGCAGCGGTAATGAGGGAATACGGTGGATTTGAAAGGCAGCTACAGTCAGAATGGCGCAGTACAGGATGTCGCGAGCCAGGTACAAGAGGGATGTGACGGCCGAGGACTCGAAGCATTCTTTGGGAATTGCATCCTTGAGCTCTTTCAGGGTAGGAGTGGTGTCTTTCTCGACAGCCTATAGGAAAAGGGTGTCAGCAATGACTTGCGCCTGGCCTCCGGCTTCCTTGCCTCACTTGTTTTGTTTCTAAATCAGACCCAAAGATGAACACATACCTTTTCGGCTTTTCTGTTGTGCAACTCGGCCATTGTTATATAGCACGCCCAACCAAATCTCGAGCAACAACTACAGACAATCTCCTGGACACCTCTGCTTATAGAGGAAAAGGCACAGAGGATCAAAGACAAAAAACAAAAACAGGAGAAAAAAAAAAGAAAGAAAAAGAAAAAAGGGAAAAGACAGTCAGCATCAATAGCTTCTGGGGAACAAAGAATTACAAAAATAAATTAGAATTAAAATAAAGCCCTAACTCATACTCCGTATTGCCCATAAATCTGCTAGCAACTATTGGTCAACTGACCCCTGTCTCCTAAATCTTCCAGAAAAGGTACGGAACCATTGAGTTTGAGGCATATTCCCTAAAGCTAATCTTCTCATAAACGAAGTATTCAATTAATTCCCCTGATAAGAACTGTCCAACCGTTTAGCAACGGGACTATTTGACGATCCAGACATTGGTGCAGGGTGGATCCATGGTCTGATGAGGACCAATCCGTGACCACTGTCGAGCATTTTTCTCCACCAACTTTTTTTAATTTTATTTCTTCGGGTCAGTGAAACGGTTGAGTGTTGGGTTTTGCCATAGCGATTGAAGAAAATAGAAAGTGTCTGGATCATACTGATAGGTCATCGGACTTCACAAGAACTAGACAGGTATGAATAATAAAGGAAAATAACTACAGGTCTACTGATGTGGTCCACGCAGGAACTGCCCCTTTCTTTGCCCTGTCGATCGGATACTTCTTTGGGGTTTCTTTTTTCGGTTTTAACTTCCCTTTCTCAACGTTCTTTTAGCCTCAAGCGCTACCGCCTCAGCAGATTTCGCCTCAGCAAAATTTCCATTTGCCTCTTAGGGTTAAGATTCTGACACGGCAGATTTTCGGTAGGAGTATTTTTCCTGGGCTGAGCCACAAAATTCGATAGTACACGTGGCGAAGGAAGACGCCGTCTGAGGTGAACTGTCCATTGTAGTGAAACCGAAGGGTTTAGCAGAAAATTTCCAGGGAGACAACGTAGTATGCCGAGGCTGGGATAATTTATAGGGCTCCAGTATCACGAGATATCTTCACATGACATTTGAACATCAACGAAGTGCTTCAATTTTTTTTTTTGTTTGATTTTTTTTTTTTTTTCACGAAAAAGGTCTAAGCACATTGTCTGAATACGCAACAGCTAAGGGAAGCTGTCCCGTAGTCATATATATCTACGGCAATAAAATACCTAGCAAATTTATTTTTATTTATTTTTTACCGATATAACCCAGAGTCTGATATGTTGGGCGTGAACAGAGCTAAGACCAAAGAGATTGATAACCATGAATACCTAACAGCAATATAGTGCGATACTCCTGAGGCATATCAATAACGAACACTAAGGCCAATTCTTTTTTTTTTCTTTCTTTTAATTGGTGGACAGAGTTTTGGTAAATATAGTGTTATAAGTGATGGCAAGGTTTTGCGTCTTTTTTGAGATAACTCGACATAGTATATTTCCCCTTCTAGGACTAGTGCACCTCCAGAGTAGGGAAAGTAAAATAAAATAGGAAATTAGTAGAGGGTAATATTCTTGGCACATTTGGTAAATGGGGGGTCACTACGGAGTAAATTTGTTCGATATGGTTGGAATACTCTATGATCGACTCAAAGGGAGAAAATAAGTTGTCAACCATGTAGTCCACGAAATATTCAACAGCGCTTCGAATTTTACTTTTCTGGCCTGTGTCAAGAGAACAGTCCATTGAGATAGGCAGCACAAGAAAAGCCAGACCGAACAGTACGAAGTATTCTCATTTATCAGATCCAGACAGTCATGATTGTACAAAAGGAACATCGCGAATGCAAATGTTGGAACGTTTGTGGATTAACATTGCGGGCATATAGCCCAGTTTGTGCTAGACCGTAACCCTCAGTAAAGCTATGCAAAGCACTGGGCTTCAGGTGACTCTTCAGTCGAACAGACAAGGACGAAGGCATGAATTACATGACTTTCCTCGTGCTTCTGAAGAACCTCCTCCCAGGAGAGTCATGTATCAATCTTTCACACCTCCATCTTTAAGAGATTCTTTTGCCACCAGTGTTCCTCTTCATTTAGCGCACGTTTCTTGTTTGCCGCTTGCCGGAATCCATGTCCCTCGCCGGCAAAAACCACCAGCTTAACCTGGCGGCCGTGCTCCTTCATGACGCGTTCCATATCCTGCGCCTGATTCAGCGGTACTACGTGGTCCTCCTCCCCCTGGAGCATCAGCAAGGGGGCCTGAATCTGGTCTGCGTGGTAGCACGGGCTCCGGTCGTGGAGCACCCGTTCGCGCTCCTCGTCAGGCATGTCGGGCGGGAAGAGGAGGTTATAAGCATACTGGCTTTCAAACTTGTGGGTGTCCTCACAGAGGGTCCGCAGATTGGCGATGCCGTACAACGAGTTCCCGCCGGCGAAGAGCGTGGGATAATCGCAGAGGGCTTGGAGAACGGCGTAGCCCCCTGCGCTACCGCCGCGAATTCCGACCTGATTCCCGTCGACCTGGGAGGATGAGGCTAGGAAGGAGGCGCAGCTGGCGGCGTCCGCGATGTCTAATTCTCCTATATATCAAGAGAAATGTCTTCTATTAGTGGGTACACACAGACAGAGAGAAAGAGAGTGAGCGCAATACCCCATCTGCCGTTCAGCAAATCCCGATACGCACGGCCATATCCCGAGCTTCCTCCATAGTTGACCCATACAACTGCGTAGCCGCGAGAGGTCCAGTAAAGATCGGAGAGTTGCAGACCTACGCCAGAACATGACGTTGGACCCCCGTGCAAGGAGACCACCAGGGGTGGGAGAGTCCCCTTCGGAGCCTGGTAGTCGGGATTTTGCGGCGCACGGAAAATCGCATAGCACTCGCCTTGTTGGAACTTGCCATGGACTCTCGGGAAAGAGATATGTTGAGTGGGAGAAATAAAGGTCTCCGGAAGAGAGATATCGACTGCCTTTTTGAGGGCTTGCAGATGGACCGTCTTGCTGACACTCAATATGTAGAGGGTGTTAAAACTCGTGCTCGATGATCCGAGAACAGCGACACTGTTCTCCGACAGTGGGCGCTCGGCTAACTCGATGTTGTCCGTGATAGGCATGTTCAGCTCACGGTAAGAGTCGTCGGCGAGATTGATAAGGATAAATGACCACTGGGCATTCCGCATATAGGCCGCGATGATCTGGTGGGATGTGAGGCAAGTATAAGTGCAACTGGCCGATTCGTTAGCATTCCGGTATATATCCCTATGATTAGGGTCTCTTACTTTCCCATATTCCAGTCGGGATGAGCGAATTCGACCTGTTCTAAGTCATTCAGCTGTATACGAGTAGCCTGTGACGAGGCGCCAGGCGGCAAACGATAGAGTTGCCAGTATCCTGTTCTATCGCTGACGAAATATAACGTTCCATCAGGCCCCCATCGGGGCTGGGTAATGCTCTCTGCCTGTGCTTTTCCCGCCACAAGGTGGGACCCAGACAGTTGTCCATTCTCCCAGTGACCAGTCCACAGCAGAGTTCCAGTCCATGGCATGTCCGGATGATTCCATTGCACCCAGCAGATCTCATCCCCAGCCGGAGAGAACTGCGCGTAGCTGTAGAAGTCTGCGCCCTGGAGCAGAGGAACGATTTTCTTGGTGGCCACCTCGATCGCCACCACTGTATTCTGGACGTCCGCCGGAGCCGGTTTCGTGTGGTCTTCCTGGACTGCCAGAATCCAGTCGATCTTCCCCGTCGCTGGTGAGGTGTGGACGGAGGTGCACACGTAGCGCAGGGTCTCTGAGGGTGTGGTCAAGCGTTCGACGGTTCCCGTTGCGGGCTCCAACCGATACAGACCCATCGTCTTCCCGTCGGTAAAAATGATCTCTCCGGTCGGGCTGGCAGTCATCGCCTTGCCACCATATTCATGCACACGGCTGCGGGCATTATATCTGGCGAAGTCCAGTCAGTAAGAGCCAGACGATACTGTATAATTGGTTGGTTGCTCACTCTCTCGGCAATACATCTCGCGCTGTCCCCTGGGAACATTGCACAATGCAGTTTCGTCCGTCTTCAAGTGGCCGAGCTTCCAGCAAGTAGATGGTTCCATCGGATGTCTAGACCAGGTTAGCGAGCGATCGACACGTTCTTGAGGGAGCGTGAAGCCGTACCACCGTAACATTCTCCATCTTGCCACCAGTTTGGGCCAACATGTCCGCGGTGATCGGACTGGCCCAAGTTCCGTACGCTGCCGTCTGTATTGGATTCGCCATGACGCAAGATATGCACAGAAAATAGTACGCTGTTCGCCGGGGTGGAATGGGTTGTGCTGGAGGTGGAATATGTGTTCTGAAGGTGGAGGAGGGGTAATGACTAGGTCCGGCGCGTCGACCAATGATATCGATCGCGTAAGCATACCTGTTATTAATTTTCTTCTGGCCGTGAGGGTGTAGAGCACAGTAAGCGTCGGGGCCGGTTGATGTATGAGTAGTAGTCGTAGTTCGGGCAGGAACATATGTGATACGTTTTGAACAGACCAGGTGATTCGAATCAGAGCCTTTCGCCAACATCTTATTATGAAGTTCATGGAATTATTTGTATCATCTATGTTTCTAAGGACTAACGGCTAATCCATACTAGTCATATTGAGCTGCCTGTTCAGGCTTTTGACGTTGTCCGCCACACTCTTATCTAGGGTTCGATACGTCAACCCTATTTCTATAATGGTGGCCGAGCTTCACGCATCCCATCACAGCTGATCAGCCGGGCGGAGTTCCGCATAGCCGGCGAAGACGTGTAAGAAGATGAAAGCGTAACATAGCAAAAGGAAAAATCAAGATATTACAAGCTAAGCCGACTCTACAGGAACGGGCAAAATAGAGTAAGTTTAGGTGTGGTCAATGTGCAGGTCGCTGGGAAGTGGGAGAAAAGGTGCAATGGCACAACATGGCGGTCGGTGGTACTCTAACTATAAAATATATTTGTTAGATAATGGGCAACGATTGGGCTTGGATTATTGCTATTATAGGAGCAAAGTTAAACTATATATTAAACACAAGCAATATAGTAGTATAGACTATGTAAACTTTTATATTATTCTATCGGCTTTTAGTAGAGATTGAGAAATAGCCTAGATTATATATATAGACAGAAAATAAAATATAAATTCAGTAAAGTAGATTGAGCTAGATAAGTACTGTTTCAGAAATGTAATTATTAGAATTAATTTTTTTTTTTTTAAAATAGAAAATAATGAATTTGGTATTTAATATCGTTGCGAAAGGTATACCCGATCCTACTTTCAACGGAGACTCTGGACTTTCTACATATAATTTTCTATAATTAATGCCAACTAGAATCTTAGGACCTGTGAAATTGACGCTAGGAATGGCCGCCTTTCCTCTCCGCCAATCCCCCGTGTCCTTATCATTAAAATGGCAACTGGGCCGTTCGGAGCTGTATATGACTTAGGGTTGGGTTATAGGCAGAAGTTAAATCATCTCCAGTGCCTTTTGTGATGTCTCAACCGGACACTCCGTCCACCCGGTCCCGTACCGGAAAATCCGTTCCACCCGTCGGGGTCGGCTATCATAAGTAGTATTCCTTCTTTTGTTCTGATTTCTTCGACCTAGGGTTTATACAATTGTGAATTCCAACTTTGCAGGCCCTTAATTCCGCGCGTTTGGGTCATGTTTGACAAATATGTACGGCTTTCACATTAACCTTGGAACACTGTTTCTGTACAGGTCGGTATCATGGATAGACTTGACTGAACGACGACCAAATCCCAAAACCATTGCATCTGGTCATTATCCTGTACCTCACACATTGTGTATCAACGACTCACTGGAATAACTTTTATGTATTTGAACTAGGCGAGTGTGTTTACGGAAACCTTGATCGTCTGTTATGAAACCATATAATATTGTATCGACTGTTATATAACATAATTCACAAACATAACTACCGGCTATGCTAGCTAAAACCAGTGAAATTGCTCAATAGTGAATCCCACGGAATATCGTCGACAGGGAATATGTCGCCCAGATCGCCGTAGATAGACGGCCAGACTTGGGGTGTCATAGCAATCTCATTGGCGTGACCTGCTATCGTGGACGTATTCTGCCTTGTGTCTTGGGACGGCGCAATTCCCACAATTGCGCGGACTTGATATGGATAACAACGTGCTAGCAACCTCATTTTAGAGCAAAGGCTCCCCAAAATTTCTGCCTCTTTGTCTGCAGCAGACATTCCCTCAAATCTTGTCTCCAGCGCGTTGGCAAGCTCTGTGACAAGATTGGGATACTCTGCTGTATCAACAACGGCCTGCACCTGAGCGTCCATAGTAGAGTCGGTGGGGCCAGTAAGGAGATTAAGAAGGGAAAATACTGCAGTGGGCATGTAGCCCACCGCGGCACATATACGAGCACTTGTAGTTATTGTCATTTGGGCAATCTCCGACGCTGGTAGGTTTCTGATCGTCTGAATGAGCTCCTTGCTTCGTTGGATTATACCCATCAGCATGGTGGTCCGGACTGCACTTGCAGGTTCTGCAGTCCACAGTTCCTCCCGAAGAGATAGTTCCTCAAGCCGGATTTCCATATATTTGATTTCAGTGCGTAATGCACTCGCTGCAACGGTTGGTCAATCTCCATCAACCACTGTGGGGGCGGAAGACACACCTGTTGATGAAGGGCAGCTCGCGAGATATTTATCTACATGTGCCCTCACGTTATCAAATTGCCGCTGCAGGGAGACGCGCGTAACTTGGACGAGCACCCTTCCACCGCTTGCTTGCATCGAAGCGTAAACTTCATCCATTGTTGCCAAGAAAGACTGTAGGTGGATAAATGGCGCAACCCACCGATCTGACAGATGCCCAGTAGATGCTAGACTATCAATGCACTCATCGATTCGGCTATCATGCTTCATGACAATCGGCCGGCCGAGTGTGCCAGAGAACCTAATACTTATAGTTAGCCGAAGCCACATCTACCAGCGTGGCAGACAACCTCACCCAACAGACAGCCAATACGTGCCGAGCAGCGCCCGCTGCTCATCCGAGTTCAGATTAGGCTTTCTGTGAAGTCCCAAATCATACAAGACAGAAACACAAAACTGAATCAACAGCAAAAGTCGCGGGTGGTATTTCTCTGCAGGATATGAGTACCATGCGCTGTGAACTAGCAGACCACGGAGCAACTCGAGATTCCTCTCGGACCGTACCACAAGCCTTAAGGTAACGTGCTTCATAATCTCTTCGGCGACAGTTTTGCGCATAGGGTGCGCACTGCCCATGGTCGCAGCCACGATGCACAAAAAGAGAAAAGGCTCTCGATCCCTGAGACGAGCGGCTGTCTCGCCGTGTGCGACCAATACAAAGGGAAACTTCGGCACTAATTCGAGTTGGAAGGCCGTAACCAGGCGTTCAGCCTCGACTTCACTCAAAAGCCCTCGATCTACGATGGATGGCTGGTGCTCCAGAACAGAGCTGGTCGGCGGATCAAGGCCGTGGGACGGGTCCTTAGCAGCATCTAGCAGCGCGGCAATGTCTGTCGAGTCCAGTTCGAGATCACGAGATGAGCCCAAGTCAGTGGTGGGCGGATTAGAAGTATCGGGCGATGTTTGCCCGCTCTGTTGTCGGGTCAAGGCAGCCAGCTGCGACATCAGTTGATCGACCTTCTTCTCTAACACCTCCACACGACTATATCCTAAATTAATACCACAAGAACCATGTGTGTTGGGAAGGATTACCTCGGTGCAGCCTTGTGCTTCCGCTTCGTCTGTGGAAGATCAAGGTATGTGCATGACTTGCCCAAACGAGCGCACCGCTGGCACAGGTTGACGCCCTGCGGCGTGCATTTCGCCTTGGCAGCCGTACACGCCACGCATGCTCTCCTTTTGACTGCAGATGATGTGGCGCTCATGATTGTTGCATAAGGAGGCAGGGAGGAAACGGAGCGGCCGGTTGATGTGGAAGACAGTTGGACCGGGAAAATCGGATCATCCGGTCGTCGGAGCGGTTTGTAATCCGCCGAATGTGTATAAATATAGGGAAGTAAATCGAACGAACATCGCAATGGCTCATTGTTAGTAAATCAAATCCATTTATCACTGGAATATTTATTTCCTTATTTTTTTTTTTACCTTGAATAAAAATAAACAATGTCTTCATATGCCATCACAGGAGCCTCCAAGGGCATTGGTCGCGAGTTCGTGCGCCAACTCGCTAGCGATACGACCAACACAGTCCTGGCTATCGTGCGAGACCCCGAATCACCCGATATATCTAAGCTCGCCTCCAATCACCCTAATGTGCACGTTATCAAAGGCGATGTTACGGACCCAAAGTCCATTCTCGAGGCTGCCTCGGCCGTAGCCGCCGTGACTGGTGGGAAGCTGGACGTGCTTATCCACAACTCCAACGCTGTTGATATGACCACCACGTCCTTCAACCCGACCCAGATTCCCTTCGATGCTCAAGCCACTCGGGCAATTTTTGACCTGCCGTTCAGCACGGGTATCTACGGCGGTCTATGGACGACAAACGCCTTCCTACCCCTGATTGAGAAGGGTATCCAGAAGAAGATTGTGCACATATCTAGCGCCATGGCGGATTTGGATTTTATCAATAAGACTGGTGTCAGCGATGTTGTTGCGTACTCTGTCGCAAAAGCCGGGATGAATGTTCAAGTCGCCAAGTACGCAGCAGAACTTGCTCCTAAAGGTATCAAAGTGTTGGCTTTAAGTCCTGGATGGGTTGATACATGGGAGGGTAAGTGGGCCTTTTTGCCTTGCTGCGGCAATGGTGGACACTGATATCATCACAGGAGAGAAACCCTTTGAGGTAATACAAGCGCAAAAGGTCATGCTGCAGCAATTTCAGGCAGCCGAGCCTGAGCTCAAGGGGCAGACTCAGCCTGAAGAGAGTGTTAGAAAGAGCCTCCAGGTGATTGAGAGTCTGGATGCCGAGTCTAGCGGCTTTCTCCTGAGCCATAATGGAGACAAGGCAAGGTGGTTGTGAGTGCTATAGATACTGATGACTTGCATCCGGGGCTGTATCAACCTTACGTAGCCACCAATTGCCTGGATACTTGATAAGAACTAGCTACGAATATCTAGTATAAGAATAGAATCATAACCAGACCTTCCAAAGAGAGCAGTAGATCAAGCTTCTATATAAAGGTTCAATTTGACGCAGAGAAGAAATCAACACCAGGCAGTGGGCCTCCAAAAAGGTCCATGATCTCCAGACCAGGAGTGATCCTGCTATCTGCAAACATGGATATATCTAAAGGAAAATATGAAGACCTTTGAGATGATTCATCGCTCATCGGCTGTGGTGGTACCTAGTAGGCGAACGTATCGTTAGACAATCTGATAGATCTCTAGGGCCGTTAGGTCAGGTTTTACCTCCCAGGGCATCTGGCTATTGGTGCTTGAGCCTGTGCCCAACGTTTCAGGCGTGGGGTGGTCAAGGGTGATGCCCATGCCGCTGTTGCCACTGTTGATATCTTCTACATAAGCCGTGTGAGAAGACGAATGAAATGCGCGCGCGATCGACGCAAACTGTATCAACATAGAGCCTGGTAGATATCCGCTAGTAGCATACTCAAGCGCACTAAAATAGCCAGTCACACTTTCAAGTAAGACTAGATTACTGCGAGCATCGTGATGGGCCGGATAATGAATGACAAGGTCGAACAAGATGAACAACGCCGTGAGGGGCATGAAGATCATGATACTGAACATATCAACAACAATGGAAACAAGTACCGCATAGGGAATAACCTACAAAAATGGGGTGGACGACTCTTGATAAATGACTCGTGTGAGATCGATCACGGCCCGTGCTGAATTCATCATCTCAACCATGTCTGATGGCGACTGGGAGGAGGATTGGTCGCGAGTAACATGAATCTTCAAGCGGTGAAGAGCAATCTTGAGCTCATGATAGTGGTAGTGAACCCGAAGTGCTGCGGCAATTTCACATGGATGCGCGAATGTTTGCGGTCGCAGCTTGGTGCCAGGTTGAAATTGAGGAGGGATTATTTGACATTGCTGTTCTAGAAGCATCTCTAGTTCATTAATCTTGGCAAGATATGTCGTCTTTGAGTTAGTCGTTGCGCTTATAGAGAACAGGTCGGTGAAGGTGCGTGAATAGAGCCTTGCAAATCTGACTGAGGTGAGAAACCAGTCAAAGTCACCAAACACTGCCTCTTGAACGAAAGGTATGGGCGAGCCAATGTCACAGTCTACAATGAACTGTCGAGATTGTTAACTAGATACTTGGGAGGCAGGAATGCTCTCACCGAAGTGGTTCCATGATGAAAGGTGACCGTTTTTTCAATGTAATACACCACCCAGAAAGCTCGGCTACGAATTGTGGCGTCACTACTCGTAGATGCTTTGTTTAAGAATGCTCGCTGGGCAACGCGCGCCGCTTCAGATATGATCTTTCCTTGTATTTGGGTGCCGGACAAATTAAGACAGAACACGGCCGGTTGTCATTGTTAATGTTTTGCCATTAAAAGGGAACGTGGAGGAATAGAACCTACCATGGCTGTGATTGCCTACCCACTGTCAGTTCTGCTAGATTGTTTCGAAGACGCAGAAAGAATGAGAATATAAATCTGCTCACCTGGACCTCCAGTAGGTCTGTGTTTAGCAGCAAGACTCTCGGGTAAAGATCAAGTGCCACTTTAAAAAGACTCCAGGCTTCACCATCCCCAGGTGCGAATGAGCCTCCGCCGTCAAATTCACAACCTATAGCTAATACTGTATAATATAAAGCAGTCCACGAAACACCACTGGCAAGATCGGCATGTAAAGTGGGCGCGAATGCCCTGCTCTCGAATTCGTAACGGTCCAGAAATGGATGCAAGGGATGAATATTTTCGAAAAACACTGAAAGCAGTCGAATGTTCATTACCGGCCCTTGTCTTCCGACGGGAGTGATCACTTACTATCAATAAGGTGGCGTGCTCTATCCGGCGAGAGACGCGGAACCTCGCCAGATTGATTCCATATGCTGGACGGCCCAAGGTTGCGATGGAGGATTTCCACGCGAGATTTGACCATGCGTGATATCCGTGCGATAAGTGACTTCAGTGCATCGTTGCCTAAACATGCTGAAAGAGCGTTTAACCGGCTGTCGGAGAAGAAACTCATACTTGAGCTGGCCACTAGTACCAAGTTAGGAAAATCACGGAAAGAACGGTTCCAGTTTACTGTATCGCATACAATGATTCTCGTTGGCCTTTACTTGACTGGTTAGTTTCAAGTCGTGCAAAGCGTGGATTTCGACAACTCACCCCGAGGAGAAATGAAGCATTTTGGGTACGTCCCGTTGACTGCCGGGTTTGAAGTAGTTGGTCCATGTAAAGAGGGCCAGATAATGCATCTGTCCTCGAACCTTGGAATTGCGAGTCACCGGGATTACTTCCCCCATCTTCTGTATGTCCTCCAGAGGACGAAGCTGTTAACAGTGGTGTTGGTGCTTCTACCCTGTCTGTCTCCTCCAGTGGGAGGCAGCCAGCGGGTGAAACCCGCCTCGGGCTATAATTCCGAGCCTTGAATTTTCTCTTTAAGGGGCTATAGACACAATCATATCCTTTTTTCTATTACACATGATTAGAAACTTGTATCACAAGTAGGTTTGCCACGTACGCGACAGTTCGCACACGCTGCAGAAGGGTCTGCCGCCGAACGGTCCGATGGCTCTATATGCAAGGTTTTAGCTTCTGCAGCCAAGGAAAGTTTCCGTTAAGTCTGACTATGACACTTGACCTTGCGTGCCTTACAGGCATCACAGACATGCGAAAGCCGCGATTGCAGCATTTTTAATGAGCCGGAATGGTTGGGGAAGTGGGGAACTGGAGTCTCGGAAGTCGCTTTAAGGGTCCATTGATTTAAACTCTCGGAACTCGGGATTCGGGATTCGGGCCTCGCTCCTGGATCACGAAACTCGTTCCCCAAAGTCCGTCCTCGGATTCTTCTTGGATTGGCGAAAATACCAGTCTCTCGAATCGGACAATAGTGATGTGAAAATGTGAAAACCAAAAGGTATGGGAAAACAAAGAATCTATCAAGGGAATCGTTGCCCCTCGTAATTCTATTTATTCATTTATTATATAGCTTATGCAGACATCCATACTGTTGGCTGATCCATTTCGTTGAATCTGGCTACATGACCTTTTATACCTTGGGGTCATTCTTTACATACATGGCTTGGTTCAAACCGTACTCAAGGCAGTTTCGAGAATTTCATCTTGTAGCTGTTCTCGCCGGCGAACTGTCCCATCTCCAAACAGAGTCAGGAGCAGTGGCAGTGGCAAAAATACTCCACTCAAAATAGCCGAGAAGACAAGAGATTTGTGCATATTGTTGGGTGGATTGCCAGTGGGTCCGGCAATCATTGCAGATTGGGCAATAATGAAGATCGCACCAAATATCTGTCCCCCAAGCCAGGAGATGGTGCTGCCTATTTCAGGGGAGTGGGGGAAAGTCATCTCTGCCAGAAGCTCCAGTAGGACTGGAACGAGGCTAAAAGATGAAAAGCCTAAGATTGCACAAACGAGATACGTGGGCCATATGCCCCAGGAGCTCGCCGGTGCAAAGATAAGCGATATGTACATCCCGCAGGTAATAGGGAAGAAAATTCGAATGGCTCCTATGTACCACTTGAACCGATCATTCAGTGGGGAGATGATTGCTGCCCCCAAAAGTCCAGCACCGATGAGGATGCCGCCTGCGATGCCCGCCTCCTCTTCTGTGGCACCATACGGTATGACTGCTTGGTTGATCAAAGTGATGGTGGAATTGAACAATGCCACATAGACAGCGAATGGCAGGGACAAGAACCAGAAGTCTCGCTTTTTAGCAATGTCCTTGAATGCCACCAGTAGAGGGGTTCGGTTCACTGCAGCGGCCGCGGAGGGTGGAGTCGGTGGTTTTGATGGGATGAACAGGGAAGGGATTGATGCCACCGAGGACTGTTGAGCCGCGTTGTCAGTCTATGAAAGGATAGATTCCGTCTGGAATCCTGAAATGAAGTTGGCGTCACTCACGATGATAGAAATGATCAAGACCATTCTAGGTAAGTCATCGGGGATCTTGGCGATGTTCGGGTTCGCAAATTGTCCCAGAGCTGCCCCCAGAGGATTAGCGAGCGTAGCAATAGCAGTAGCACTGGTGCGGCCCTGGTCCGTGAACCAACTGTCACTGAACTTGCTAGGGGTTGAGAGGCAAAAAGGCTGAGCCAAACCAATGACAATTTGGCCAAACATGACAACCCCATAGTTCTTAACCACTGACACTGTCCCTGCATATCGTATCCAGTTGCCAACTAACAGGAGCACAGAAGCGACGATGTTCGATCCTCTCAAGCCCATGCGCTCTACTGTATGGAAAACAAAGCTGGTAAAAGTTAGAAGAATATGACTGGATTATTTTCGCCGCGCCGGAAAGGAAAGACTCACGGTGCGCTGACGCAGTAAGCGAATAGAGTGCCCGTACTTAGCCAAGTGATTGCGTTCACACTAACACCTAAGAACTCGGCTGATGCTACTGGGACGGTTGGATATGTGATCCACTGCTCAGTCAATATTTCTGTTTGATTGTTGCTGGCAGCCAATAACTTACATCCCAACTGACGACGATATTGAGGAGGGCCAGGTGAGCGACACCGATGAAGCGGCGTTTGTAGACCTTCCTCACGGTGGGCTCTTGATACCCAGGGCCGATGTCAAAAGAAGACGGCCCAGTGCAAGTGACCGATTTGCTATCACTAGGGTTTGTGAACTTTATATCCGCATTGTCGACCATAGTTTTAATCTACCGAATGGCGGTTGAGAACGAGGATATGACAGAGATAAAATCTAATAATTGAGCAAGACTCAAAATTCCAAACTACACCCCCGAAAGCTGTCCAGGCGCCAGATATAATACTTCAAGACACCCTTGGAGTTCCAGCTATAGGTTTGAAACCTTAATCACATCCTCCTATCAATCTTCATGAAGCTAGAATACCCCGCATATCGAAACCCGACTTCCGTGGTATGCTTCGCTATATTGACTGTGGATTTACATCCCTGTTTTCGAAAAGCCATGTTGACGTACGCTCCAGGCTTCCACCATGAAGCTCCTAGATTCAGAAAAGGACACCCATCGTCAAGGCCATCGGTTCTCCTACAAACACATCCCCCTGGAATGGTTCATTGCTTCCAGTAGGCCATTTTCTTCACCTCTGCCAGAGAACAACACTTCACCAACGTCCGCGGAAACCTTAGATCCAACCCCTTATGCGTCCCGTCAGGAGCCAACTCCAAGAAATAGAGCTTCTGAATTCCCTGCTCTTCCACGTATTTCAACATCTCCTGATACATAGCCCCAACGTGAGCGATGCCATGACTGTCATCAGAAAGACAGAATCGACCATCTAAGGCAAGGAATTCCTGACTCTTTGTCAGATCTGAGATAGTAACACTAGTCTGATTAAAGGTGATGATTCATACCTGGCAAACCTCCGCTGCAGGGTACGGCGTCTCAAGCCCTTTCCGCAGTGCAGCTGAATTCAGCTCTAGAAGCCCTCCGTAGCTGGATATATATTTTAGATTTCGCGTCACTCTCTGCCACACACCTGTCCATCTCCGAAACCCTCCATCGGGTGCGTTTGGGTTATCAGAGTGAAGCCGAATCAAGTCGAAATGGCCCACGATCATAGGTTTCAAATTTTGCAACATTTCAAAATGAACATCGAAATAGTCTTCAAAGATACGCTCATCGGTTCCGCCGGAAATCTCTCGTGCCTTCAAATATAGCTCTCGATTCCAGTCAATGGGAATTCCATGGAGATGGTGCACTGACCCAACAAAGAACTCAAAAGGATACCGAGACAGCGACTCATGTATGAGTCTCAGTGAAGTGTCGCTCCGAATCCATTCCGATTCGAATCCTACGAGAATCTTGATTTGGGAGGCGTATTTTTCCCGTAGCTGGATCGCTGTCATGAAATACTTTGCCTCATTGCTCACCAGAGATGATGACGTTACGCCGGCCTCGATCTAACGTGAATCAGAATGGTGATGAAGAAAATCAAACAGACAGATGTCAGTGAGGTCTACTTCTTCTTCGTATAACTCGTCACTGGAGCGCGGCATATGTTCGCTCAAACAAAATACCTCCATACCTTGTGATATGGCAGTCTGTATCACTTCCTCCAAGGTGTTTTGGGCATGGCTAGGACAAAATTCTCCTGAGTGCGAGTGGTGGGAGAAAGGCATGTTGTCTTGCGAGAGACTTTTAAATGTACCGGATTAAAGATAAACGTAGATATCGAAGTTCAGGAAAGTAGTGTTTGACACATAAGTCTAGCTATCTTACATGGCTTTTATCCGGCCAAAGTTTACCCGCTGCCAACCATTGACATTCCTTTCTCGGTTTTCGGAAGTGGATTGTTAGTGGAGTTGCTCGTCTCGGCTCTCGGCTTTGGGATCACCTATTTAATCCATGGGAAGTAGGACATCGCTAGTTGCGAGTCTACTCCTAATCGTTGAATTTTCCTTCACTCCACACTTAGTTCATTGAGAAGTTACCATGTATGCTCTTAATCAGACGGCAAAGTCGGGTTGGTTGCTCCTGACGCAACCAAGTGGAATATCGAGGTACGACATCGTTTCTCGATTAGTTTGTACTATTTTTATCATACGAAGTGTCTATACGGTCTACCACAATGTCACTTGCTACGGTGTTGCTGGAACTTTGACAAATGCCTTGGAATACTGCCGGAGGTGGATATCCCTAGAAAGACGACCAGCCCCCCGGAGATTCAAAAGAGTGGATAAAAATATCGAGGCCATATCGAACTCGATGGTGCAAAAGCTGGCTCGTCATGGAGCTGATGCCAAAAAGAATCTATCGCTTCCCAAGGAAGGATGGGGTGTCGAGAAAGTCGAAGCAGAGTTGGAGGAACTCCACAACTTAGACCATACGCGATGGGAGGATGGCCGGGTCAGCGGAGCAGTATACCATGGGGGCAACGAACTGTTGGAAATGCAAACGAGAGCCATTGGAAAATTTAGTGTCTCGAATCCAATTCATCCAGACGTCTTTCCAGGGGTTCGAAAGATGGAAGCGGAAATCGTAGCAATGGTATGTGAGCATCAAGGCAATCAATTCTACAGCAAGGGATTAACGAAAGAGAATCCAGATCCTGGCTGCCTTCAACGGCCCCGACGATGGTGCCGGGGTAACCACCAGTGGTGGTACAGAATCCATTATCATGGCATGCCTGGCTGCTCGGGAGAAAGCTGCAGCTGAGCGCGGCGTCACAAATCCCGAGATGTATGTCCATCGTATATGCGTTTATGCTTTGATTGCCGTGCTGATTGGTCAGGATTATTCCAAATACTGCTCATGCGGCATTTTTCAAAGCTGCGCAGTATTTCAAAATCAAACTCCATCTCGTTTCATGTCCGGCGCCTGAATACAAAGCATCTGTTACCGAAATTCGTCGACTGATCAATCGTAACACGGTTCTTCTAGTCGCCTCTGCACCGAACTATCCCCACGGCATTGTCGATGATGTCCCAGAGATTTCACGATTGGCAACCGAAAATAATATCCCACTTCATGTTGACTGCTGTTTGGGATCACTTGTTATTGCTTTCTTGCAAAAGTCGGGCTTCCCGTCGCCATACGATAATAGCGGTGGCTTTGATTTTCGGCAACCTGGTGTCACCAGCATCAGTGTTGACACACATAAATATGGTTTTGCTCCAAAAGGCAGCTCGGTCTTATTGTATCGCAATCGATCATACCGAAACTATCAATACTTCTTGTTTCCTGATTGGTCTGGCGGTGCATATGCTTCACCATCCATGGCAGGTTCTCGCCCTGGCTCCCTGATCGCAGGCACCTGGGCTACACTGATGAGAATGGGAGAGTCTGGATATATAAGCAGCTGCCGCCAGATTGTGGGAGCTGCAAAAAAGTTCGAGACTGCCATACTCACAAACCCTATCTTGAAGCCCCATGTTGAGATCATTGGGTATCCTATGGCTAGCGTCATCGCATTCACAAGTAAGAATGATGAAATCGAGACATATGATATTGCCGACGCCATGGACGCTAGGGGATGGCACCTGAACGCGTTGCAGTCTCCACCGGCTATTCATTGTGCTTTCACCATACCTACAGCTGAAGCTGTGGATAGTCTCATTTCAGATTTGATTGATGTTATCAATGAGATATTACTTCAGATTCAGGAGCAGAAGCAAAAGGGGGAACAAACCGTACCCCAGCGTGGTAAGAGTGCGGCGCTCTACGGTGTAGGGGGAAGTATTGCGGATAGGACCATGGTCAATCAATTCGCAGAAGGATTCTTGGATACCTTGTATAAAGCTTAGATTGCACTACAAGTTGCAGGATAGTAAAGCAAGCAAGAAAGAACTATTCTTAGAAAGGGGCCTTTCATTCCGGGTCTTTCCTTATAATAAAAATTGAGCTCATGCTTTAACTTTCGCCATCACCGTTATGTATATCATCAAAGAAGTTATTAGATCAAGATGAAAAGCAACTGGCTATACAATTAACACAAAAATAAATTGCCCAAATATCCTTACTTAGTCAACAGGCCTTCCACCCTGAACAGTAGATCCTTCGTTACAAAGTGTATATACATTATCCAGGTCACTTGATATCTCTTTTATGATCTAGCCGATGTAGCAGATTTTACTATTGGAATAAACCACATGGCTGCTTTTTATCTATCCTATGTAATTTTGAACTTTAGACATCAGTCTATACACTACAGTTCAAAGCGGGCACCCGGGTTTTGTATCTTTTTATTGTTTCCCAACGCCTATATCAAGATAAGCCAGACCTCCCTTAAGGGACTTCTAATTATTAGACAATATATTATCGGGTATTCTACTATATCATTACAGGAAGGAGGTTATATTACATGTTTCGCTAATGCATGTATTGCGTGTCCCCTCCTCACTCCCTCATGAAGAACATAATGAACATGATCATAAATATGGTCAAACCGCAAAGCATCAGAGCGGTGGGAGTGCCGAAGATGCTGTTCAGAGACGTTCCAACTTCCGTGCATCGTTGGACACATAGCTTGAGCGACTCACTTCGTCACATTGGAGCATCACTATGACTAGTATAGTGTGTATAAATAAATTGAACGAAACGCACAGTTTCAAGAATCCCTAACCTTCAGAGTCTTCTTTCCAAGGTAGTTTCAGATTCATGGCCATTCTTCATGCCATGAAGTTGAGTTTCGCCCAACCCACTCCCTGTCGAACAAGACTCAAACACCAGAAGGCCAACATCATACCGACTCGATCAGCCCACTTTTCCAGATAATAGAGTGCTCGGGATCCGAGGGGGCCGAAGACTTTATTTGCATAATCCAGCCCCTTCAGTCCAGCTGCTCTCCTGGCGATGAACCAGATACATTGGATCCATATCTTCTAGTCCATGATGTGAGCTTACGAATTAGGTTTCTCATCAATGCAGTTACCTATCTATTCCCTAAAATTAAGCGTGATCTAGGCGTCTCAGCTGGGTCATACTCATGATGGCAATGGAAGTTAGTATTCAAAGAGTATCTAGAATAGCAAATCTTTTACCGAGGGTCTTGCACGCTACCGAGGATAGTAGCCCGGCAGCAAGACCTATTGACTCGCTGCAAGGGTATACGCGGAAGACTCAAGAATTACTCGATTCGACTCGTTTTTGTAGCTGGTCTTACCTCGGTAGGTCTTGGTTGTAAAGTTCAAATGCAGACTTTTATGATTCGCCTTCGATAGTTGGATGCTGCCAAGACCACATTGCGCTTGACTATATAGAGTTAGACTTTCCCAATTCGGCGAAAGTTTACCCCAAGTCCGCTTCGAAGGCAAGTCAGGTCCTGCTTATTAAAAATCGGTTCGAGACCAAGATGCTTGCTAACGTTCACTGAAGCTCCCATCACTGCTAGGTTTCATGCCGAAAACCGGCACTTGATGCCAAATCGTTCTGATCTAAGCCATCTAGATCGTTAGGTGGGGAATACTGCAAATCAGTAATCTGCAGATCGACTATTGAGTAATCGAATTCCTTGTTATGGCAACAAGTCTTAGCTCATTGGTCCTTCGATATAGGGCAATCTCTGGGACTATTCGTTCATTGTATTAGCGATCCTCAGCACTGACTACAGGAGGGCTAGATGGTCTACCATACTGTCAGGCAACGCAATATTCTTTTTGGTGGGACATCTAATGACGTCGCCGGAATTTCTAAGGATGTCCCAGCGAATAGTCATGTACGGTCGAGAACCAGGAGGGTTTGAAAGCGAGAAACGAGAATTCGGTTCAGTGCCGGTGGGATTCACTCCGCTTTCGCTTGGGTGATGAATATTCAGAGCACCTTACTAATGGAGTCGTACTCATGGTGTTGAAAAAACAATATAAAGACCATGGTTGTTCACCAACAGCTGCTGAAATATCATGAGACAATCGAATTCATCACGACTCCTTTCTCATACAACGAACAAGTTCAATATTAACACACTGCAACTGCACTTCCAGTTTTGCCCATCATGGCAGAGAAGTGTCCCTTCCACAACCAAGCCCCGAAGCCCAACGTTGCGGGCAGTGGCACCCGGAACCGCGACTGGTGGCCAGAACAGCTGAAGCTGAACATCCTCCGCCAGCACACAGCGGCCTCAAACCCACTGGGCCCAGATTTTGACTATGCTGCGGCTTTCAACAGCCTGGACTACTATGCTCTGAAGAAGGACCTACAAGACTTGATGACTGATTCACAGGATTGGTGGCCGGCGGACTTTGGTCATTACGGTGGCCTCTTCATCCGCATGGCCTGGCATAGTGCGGGTACCTATCGCACCTTTGATGGTCGAGGTGGTGGTGGACAGGGTCAACAACGGTTCGCGCCACTCAACAGCTGGCCGGACAACGTGAGTCTCGACAAAGCTCGCCGCCTGCTTTGGCCTATTAAGCAGAAGTATGGTAACAAGATCTCATGGGCTGACCTGATGATCTTGACGGGCAACGTGGCACTTGAGTCTATGGGCTTCAAGACATTCGGATTCGCCGGTGGCCGTAAGGATACCTGGGAAGCGGACGAATCTGTTTACTGGGGTGGTGAGACCACATGGTTCGGGAATGATGTGCGCTATTCCCATGGTTTCGCCGGGTCTTCCAAGCATGGTGCTGTTATTGCCGATGAAGCACCCCATCGCGATATTCATTCTCGCGAACTAGAAAAGCCACTTGCAGCAGCTCATATGGGCTTGATTTACGTGAATCCGGAAGGACCCGATGGAAACCCCGACCCAGTCGCTGCAGCTCGGGACATTCGTACCACGTTCGCTCGCATGGCAATGAATGATGAGGAAACTGTTGCGCTAATTGCCGGTGGTCACACTTTCGGAAAGACCCACGGCGCGGCTTCCTCAGACCACGTTGATGCTGAGCCTGAGGCTGCTGGTCTAGAGGCACAGGGCTTGGGTTGGCAGAACAGCTATGGCTCCGGGAAAGGCGCGCATACCATTACCAGTGGTCTGGAAGTCACCTGGACAAAGACTCCAACCCAGTGGAGTTTGAACTTTCTCGAGTACTTGTTCCGCTTCGACTGGGTGCTGACCAAGAGTCCTGCGGGCGCCAACCAGTGGGTAGCTAAGGACGCAGATGCCTTTATCCCGGATGCATTCGATCCATCTAAGAAGCACCGACCACAGATGCTTACCACTGACCTGTCTCTGCGATTCGATCCGGCTTACGAGAAGATCTCACGCCGCTTCCTGGAGAATCCGGATCAGTTTGCAGACGCTTTCGCGCGGGCCTGGTTCAAGCTGACACATCGGGACATGGGGCCGCGTGCTTGCTATATCGGTCCAGAGGTCCCAGCTGAAGAGCTGTCCTGGCAGGATCCCATCCCATCAGTAAACCATCCGGTGATTAATGAGACCGATATTGCCGCACTCAAGCGGGATATTCTCGCAACCGGTGTCGATCCTTCGACGTTCATCTCGACTGCTTGGGCATCAGCATCGACTTTCCGGGGCAGTGACAAACGTGGCGGCGCCAATGGTGCGCGTATTCGCCTTGCCCCTCAGCGCAACTGGGAAGTAAATAACCAGCCATGGCTTGAGGCGGCATTGAAGGCCCTGGAAGACATCCAAGACAAATTTAACAGCGCCCAGAACGATGGAAAGCGAGTATCCTTGGCGGATCTCATTGTGCTCGCTGGCTGCGCAGCTGTCGAGAAAGCTGCCAGCGATGCCGGCCATATTATCACCGTGCCTTTCACGCCGGGACGCATGGATGCTTCGCAGGACCAGACGGATGTCGAGTCATTCAATCAGATGGAGCCCGTGGCAGACGGATTCCGGAACTATGGCACATCCACTGCTCGGGTGCGAGCTGAGCACTACCTGGTTGACAAGGCGCAGTTGCTCACTCTCTCTGCGCCTGAAATGACAGTACTTGTTGGTGGTCTGCGGGCTCTGAATGCCAACTACGATGGCTCTGCCCATGGTGTGTTTACTACCAGGCCAGGCCAGTTGACAAACGATTTCTTTGTCAATCTCCTTGACATGAACACCTCGTGGAAGGCATCTGGCCGTAACAATGACATTTACGAGGGCACCGACCGTAGAACCGGCTCTAAGAAATGGACTGCTACCAGGGCCGATCTTGTCTTCGGATCTCATGCCGAGCTGCGCGCCATCGCCGAGGTGTATGGCAGCAGTGATGGAAAGGGGAAATTCATGAAAGACTTTGTTGCCGCTTGGGCTAAGGTCATGGACCTTGACAGATTTGATCTAAACTAGGATGTTACATTATCTATGTCAGCCTTTGTGTACTCTTCGTCATGTTTGGTTATTCGTGTTGCATATACGCTAATAGAATGTAATAAATACCTCACTGGACTGTTGTGCATAGCCTTTATCTTTGCTTTGCAATCTTCCAAGGGTCGAAAATCACAATAGACTCTCATGTAGACGGACCATTATCAACATAATGTGATTGAACTGCCGACGGAAGGAACTACGGTGTTGAGTCCGAGTTCCTTTTAATCTATTCTGATCAGAATGTCCAATCACACTATAGAATGGGGCCATAACGAAATGATTTCGGAAATCTAGTTGTCCATTTTCTCTACTGTTTGAACTTATTTGGTCGCTTGGCCGGCGTTAGGGGGATTTAGACTGGGCAGAGAGTGACGTTGGTCGGCATTGACGCGTAGATAGTTTGATTGCGCCATCAAGCCCCAGTCTCGCAGCATATCGTGGATAAAAACTAGCCCAGACACAATTCTCCCCTCAGATACAATGCCGAAAAAAAATTATAAATATAATGTATCTGCCGATCGGTAAATTTCTATACGAATGAGATCAAATTAGAGAAAAAAAAAATAATTGCTCGCTGGGGATTACTCTAAGTAGTAAAATCGAAGATATTACCCTAATTTTCTTTTCCCCGGATCAATCAATGTTATGATGTCTTTACCCGATCAACATTCGTCACTCGATAATGATCTACCGTCAGAGAAAAAGATCATAACCGAAGTCTCCACGGATCAGGAGTCGTCGGATGAAGAAATTATCAAAGATTGGGATGATAAGGAGGAGAATGCGCTTCGTCGAAAGTGAGTAACCGCATATCCTTCCAGAGAGTTGAATAACTAACCACCACACCTCTTATCTTCTTCATACAGAATTGACTTTATCCTTCTCCCCATTCTCGGTCTCGCCTTTTTTGCTCTCCAGGTTGATCGTGGAAACATCAGCGCCGCGCTCACGTCCACTATCACAGAGGACCTGGGGATAACAACCAACCAAATTAATATCGGTACACAATTGCTCTCGGCTGGGATTGTCATCACAGAAATCCCGTCGAATATCGTTCTTCAGCGGATCGGCCCGCAGGTATGGCTGTCGATACAGCTGTTCGCCTGGGGTCTTGTCGCGACCTTCCAGGCGTTTGTGCAGAGCTATCCTGCTTATTTAGTAACGAGACTGTTGCTGGGATTGTTGGAAGGCGGGTTCATCCCTGGTACGGATGTTTTACCCAAGACCTTGACTGAAGATATGGAGCACTAATGGATAGTTTAGGCGCATTGTACTATCTTTCCACATGGTACAAGAAAGGCGAGACAAGCTTTCGCACCACTCTCTTCTTCTTCGGACAGATGTTCGCAGCAGCGACATCAAGTCTTATATCCGCCGGTCTACTAACTCTAGACGGTAAATGCGGGCTCTCCGGCTGGCAATGGATTTTCCTCAGTACGTCAATCAGGGCAAACTCCGGCAGAAACACCTCCTCTCTAACGATTTTATAGTCGAAGGACTAATCACAATCCTTGCCGGCATCATCTTTACTCTCCTCGTCCCGCCCAAGGCAGGCAATGGTTACGCCCTAATCGGCCTCAAGCGCTGGAGCTATTTCACTCCACGCGAGTCCCACATCATTCGCAACAGGGTCCTTCTTGACGACCCGCACAAAGCACGCGGGCACATCAAGATCACGGCAAAGGATATCTGGAATACCGTGCGCCAACCGACCACCCTCCAGCATTTTTTCGTTACCCTCGTCGCCATGTCAGGGTTCCAAGGTCTGACGCAGTATACGCCGAGCATGATAAAGTCATTCGGGTTCAGTGCCGTTCGGGCGAACGCGTTGGCATCCGTGCCGATTTATTGCAGCATGGTGTGGTGTTTGGGGTTGTCTTATCTCGCGTAAGTTCCTCTCTTTGAGCATACATGTATTTTGGAAGTGAGCTAATTGTTCGAGCAGAGATCGCACCGGCCATCGAGGTCCCTTCGTTCTTCTCTCCATCACTTGGAATGTGATTTCGTACGCCTGTCTGCGGGTGATGCCTTATTCCTCGTCGAGTTGGCATAAGTATGGAGTCATAGCCGTGGCCAATGTAACCTATGCCAGCATGCAGTACGTTCATTTCCCTGCCCCGTTCCCATGTCCTGGATTCTCACAAGGTCAACCAAACAGTGTCCTGAACATCGGCTGGCTATCCGTCTACTGCAAAACACCCCAAGAGCGGAGTGTCTCCATGGCGTATGTTTATCCTTCCACACGTGGAATACCTCCTTTCGCTTTGACGTTGGCTAATGGTGATAACAGCTTGATTGTTATGGCGGCCAATTGCGCCGGTATCTCCGGGTCGCAGATTTTCCGCACATCGGATCAACCGAGATATCTGCATGGTTTAACGGCTATTTGTGTCTTGGCCGGAGCGTCCTGGGTACTGGCGGCGGCGTTGGGGGTGCAGTATTATCTGAAGAGAAGCAAGGCCGGAGGTATTGGTGGCCGGGCATAGATTTCACCGTTGATGTATGATACTATTGACTAGTATGACCCGTAATAATGGGATGTATATATCAGGTTCATCAACTCTTTGTTATTAGAGATCTAAGGTAGAATCTGGGCTTTCTGTCCGACATCTAGTTCGTTCCGCGTGCCGCAGGCACCGAAGGGCACAGTATAGTATAGGTCGTATGGCAATCAGCACCCTATAGAAAATAAAAAAGAAGATCCGAAGAGAAAA